AATCAAAATTATTCGCTCGTTGTAACCCAAACTGCATCTATCTTAGTTTAGTCGTCTAGTTTGACGTTTTCGAGTCAAATTAGACGAATTTTGCACCTCAAAGAAATACAAATTGTAATTAGAAGTATAATATCATTAAATTTTTATTGTTGAGAACATCAAAGTTGATTTCATTGTATTAATATGCAATATAAATTGAAAGTAATTAATGACTAAATTTTTTTAGTTCGATTCAAAAAAGTTAAACTAGACTAACACACTAGGACATACGGAGTATGGAGTATTTGTCGTCCAATTTGGGTAACTCCGCTTAACATATTTGATATTGCGTACATGTCTAGAAGAGGGGTGGTTTCCCATTCAGTGAAAAAAACACTTTACAAATTCCTAAATTTGAAACGTATTTCCTATCAGTGAAACACGGGTTTGGCGAACGCGACTTCTGAAATATTAATTGATATGATCATGTTCGCGGAACACAAGTTCTAAAATATTAATTGAAATCGTGTTTGCAGAACACGAGTTTGAAATATTATTAAAATCGTGTTCACCAAACACAAGTTGCTTCAAAAGCAAAAAAGGGTTATCACACGTGTTGCTCCTTCCATAAAGCCGTTAGATTCCCCAAGCCACCCCCCAACATTATGAACAATTACCGATCAGTGTAGAATCTCAATGTGAGATTCCTAACAATGTAAACCGTGTTTGTTGAACACGAAATACTTTTTCCCAATTAAAGTTGTGTTCAGCGAACACAACTTTGAATCCCTTAATTAAAACTATGTTCAGCGAACACAAGTTGTTCTTCAAACATTAATTTTATAGAGTATAACACAATCAAATGTATGGTGCAATGGTTGAAACTACAATTTGTATAACATAAAAAAAATTAAACATAACATTGCATATTTAAAACAAAACATACACTAAATATTTAAAAACAACATAAACTAATATTTAAAAATAACATACACTAAATATTAAGAAGACAACAAAAAACGAAAACAAAAAAATTAAACATAACACTGCATATTTAAAACAAAACATACATTGAATATTAAAAAAAACATAAATTCCCCTGGAAGCGTTTTTATCCTTCCATTGTCCATTTCATCTCATATCCCCCTGAAAGCATTTTTGCCTGCGGCGATCGGAACGTGATATTTCTCCTTCAGGCCTTATCGGTGGCAATACCGGATACTCTGCATATTTAAAATTTTTTGGAAATATCACCGGTCTAATTTGGCCGGTGTAACACATCTGATATCGTTGCACACTATACATGTGAGAGACACAATCATCCGCACGTTGTTTGAAAGAATGAAACAAAGAGTGTACATGCATGCATGGAACAGTCTCCTTGTCATTGTCCACAAGTACATGACTTATTCCCCAAGTCGATCACAAAGTTGTACATATGCCCTGAGTTAGAGATGGAAGCCCTAAAGACAACGTATTGATGTCCGCCATAATGCATAGCCTGAGAGTTTTGTTTATTTTTTTCCCGGGCTTCAAAGATCTTCAAAATCTTTTGAGTAAACCGAAGATTTTTTTGTTGCCAATCCAAACAAGACCTACGACGTGACTCTCAAAAGAATCAACAAGTTTTTGGTACGACATCATGATAATAGCACTCACCGCTAACATCTGAAAACCTTTTAGCATATTGTTGAAGCTCTCAGAACTGTTCGTGGTAAGTATCCCACATTGACTCCCACCGTCGTACACTAGCGTCCACAACTCTAGCGGAATCTCAACAAGATATTGATATGCTTGTTCACTTTGACCTCGAATTTCCTGCATACAGTCTTGGAATTCCTAGACACTCGGAGTACTCCCTGCCGACCACATGAGGTCCTTGAGTTTCTTATTGTGAAACTTTGAATTAAAGTTACTACGTATGTGATGTAGACAGAAACGCTTTACTATGTTTCCTGTTTGAAGCTCTTCCACATCGCGATAGGTGTTGATGATACCAGCATGCCTATCGGGAATGACACAAACTCTTACCCTAGCTATAATTTTTTGAGCTACCAATCGTAGAAAGCATGACCAATTATCAGTACTTTCCCCATCAACTACGACATATGCAAGTGGGAATATCTCGCGGTTTCCATTCAAAGCAACTGCGAGTAAAAGATGGCCCTTATACTTGTCGTACAAATGCGTCCAGTCAACGGTCACTACGGGTAAACAGTGCTGCAATCCATTTATAGCCGCTGGAAAAGCTCAAAATGCATACTTAAAATTCACTCAAATTACGGGCTCAGTGTTCAGGTCTGTTGGTGGTGAGGTGCATACAAAATGCACCACGGTTTCCGGATAAGAAGAAACCAAAACTTGTAGCAAAATTGGGACTTACTTGTATGAGTTCTTCCAACTTCCGTACAATGTTTCTGAGGCAATAAGCCTCGCGAGCCAACATTTTTTGTACGACATGGGGACCTTGTAAAGTTCAGTCACCTCGTGTCGAATTAACTTTACCTTGTATTCCGGGTCAACACGCAATTTCCCAACAATCATCTGGGCTATGAATTGGCTTGTGATGTTGCGGTCGTCACCTCCGTGAGAGTAATTAGGACGACATGTGTGTCATTGATGGTAGTTCTTTAATAACGAATGGTCTGATTTCTTCCCTTTCGCCGCTTGTGCACGCCAATAACACCGTGGATTCCCATCATGGTCTAAACATTGGCAAGCCCAAGAGCGCTCTCGTTTGTACTCAAGGGTCCATACTTTGAGATCCTTTATGCAATCCTTTGTGATTGAATCTTCCAAAGATTCAAAACTTGGAAAAAGCATATTCTCTTGCACTACAACATCGGGTGTGTAGCGTTTGCGACCACTCTCGGCTTCCCTACGCGTTTCTTCAATCCACCTTAATTCGGTTTCATCCCCATCAGAGTTGCTATCTTCTGAATCGCTGTCACTTTCTGGGTTGTCTATAGCCTCAACGCGTTGTGCAATGGATACATGGCGTTTGCGCATAGCATCTTCGGGTGGACGTGAAGTACTAGTACCCGCTCCGGATTGCTCGGCGGAAATGTATATTTCCAGCAACCCAAAATTCTTTGCTTTCGAAACAAAGACATTCCACATAGTTTCGTCCTCGATGCCCATCAGAGTGCATGAAGTACCCGCTCTTGTGTTGTACGGGATTTTTCCGGCAATTTTTGTGATTAAGTCGAACCCATCTTGAATCAAATGTATTTGACATTGATTTTTGATGTGTTCCCATTGAAAACAATCATCCACTATCATCATTTTTTTGATATTTGTTGTGTCCCCAATAAATGTTTATTCGGGTGGGGATGTATTCCACAATGGGGTTGTGTCCCCAATAAATGTTTTTTGTTGTCGTTTTTTGTTGTCTTCTTAATATTTAGTGTATGTTATTTTTAAATATTAGTTTATGTTGTTTTTAAATATTTAGTGTATGTTTTGTTTAATATGCAATGTTATGTTTATTTTTTTTGTGTTATACAAATTGTAGTTTCAACCATTGCACCATACATTTGATTGTGTTATACTCTATAAAATTAATGTTTGAAGAACAACTTGTGTTCGCTGAACACGGTTTTAATTAAGGGATTCAAAGTTGTGTTCGCCGAACACAACTTTAATTGGGAAAAAGTATTTCATGTTCAACAAACACGGTTTACATTGTTAGGAATCTCACATTGAGATTCTACACTGATCGGTAATTGCTCTTTAGAAGAGATTGTCAATGTCATTCTATCTGACATTTTTTAATAAATAATCAATTTAACGGGTTAGCTCAAAGCTCTCACGATACTCTCTTCAAAATTTTGATAATTCTTATCCCCTTAACTTTCTCCTAGAGATGGAGGGTATGCATATCCTTTATGAGTAATTTTTTACTGCACAATCTTTTTCACTTACATTAGCACCACATTATATTTCACTATATTTCACTAGCTTCACACTTTTCTTATCATAAGTGGGGGTACGTATGCTAATATGTTAATTTATTACAACTATTTGTAAATAATTAACTTAAACTAGTGATAAATATTGATTTTAAAATACTTTTTATATATTTAAATTTTTAATGCTTTGTAACTAATTTTAAAATAATATACTTGGTCCGTCTCTGAGTGTTTGTCCACTTTTGACTTTTGGAACTGTTCATCTAAGCACTTTGACTCATCAAATTCTCTCAATGTTCTGAAAACAGTCATGTGTGATCTTGTTTGATTCGTCTTAACATATAGATTATTAATATATACTCCCTCCGTCCTATAATGATCTTCCCGGTTCGCAAAACGAAGAAAAATCCCAAGTTTTTTCAATCTATTTTATTTAAATATTCGTATAGAAATAAAAAATAAAACATACATATTTAAAAACTACATCAAAAGTTCAACAAAGCAAGTGGTGACAAGAATATTTTATTTTATCATATAGGCCATGAAAAAACACAAATAAATATAAATTCCCGTGAAGTTGGAATAGTGCTCTGGGAAGATCATTATAGGACGGAAGGAGTAATTTTTATAATTTTTAATATACAAATTACAAGATAAAATGGATTAAAAAAGTGCATTAGATGGTGTGCAAAAATGAAAATGGACAAACACTCAGGGACAAAGGGAAAGGGAGTATAGTGTAAATATTTAATTAACACAATAACAAGATGATCACATTTTATTTGTTTTAACAATATTACAATATCAAATAAAAGAAAATACCAATCTCAAATTAAAAAAAAATAAAAAAAATACTAAAACAATAAGACCTCTCTTGCCGTTGGTGGCTGGCTTTGCTTGAAAGAGTACATCACAAAAAATTGGTGATGTATAGCGTTAAGTTTTTAATTTTTAAAAAATTAAAAGTGAAAAATTGACTGATCTAATTAGGACTTGTTTTTAGAATGGCAACTATTTTAAAAGTGAAAAATTGACTGATTTTAAAATCTAAAAAGAAATCCTACTCTGTGGTCTATATATAACACTGAAACCAATAGAAAAACAGCTTAAATAACATCTCAAGAGACAGAGGGACATAATGAACCCTACAAGTTCAAAAAAACATACTCTGGTATGATCTTTGATCGAAAATATAAAATTAAAAAAGAAAACACATAGACAGTACCTTTTCACTTCCAGCCTTGAAGGGAAACGCATGCGGCATTGACTTATAATATAATGCTGCATTGTAAATTGTAATAGAGAAGACAGATTGTTTTAATGGAAAATGATGGGTGAATCTCATTGTTTTAATGGCCTCTTGAATACTCAATGACATTTATAAACGTCGAAAACATCATATTGTAACTGCCCTCGAGCCCTGGTGTTAAATCAAAACACCTCCTCATGCACTCGAATCCTCTTTCCATTTTACCATGTAGCTGGTAATGCGAAGCTAACACAAACCAAATTTCTGCAACCTGAGACCTTTTTTCTCCAGTCCAAGCTTCGGCTATTGCCTCTGCTTCCACAAAGAAACACTTTTTACAGTACCCTTCAATGATCAACTTAAGAATGTTCAGATAATCAGTACTACTACTATGCCAATTGCCAGATGTTTCCCACTCTATCACCATCTTCCTGGCCTCATTTAACTTTCCTGACTCGAGTAGTGACTTGATAGTATTCTTGTAATCCATATTTAAGGTTTGACTCAAGTTCCCATGTTGTACCGAATGGATTGGATTGGCTTTTAAGAATAGTGTGTCTGGGGCAGGTTTAACTGATCTAGTGCAGCGCAAGGGAAAGAATGATCCACATTCTTCTTCTAGGTATTTGAAAAACAACATGGGAACAGTTGGGTGAAGTTCTAATGCACGACGAGGTCCTCGAAAGCAGTTAAATGCTTGACTCACATTACCCACTTTAAGGTATTCTTTACAAAGTAGGCTTGAAAGTGTGTCCACACCAGTCTTCCCTTTTCTAGACCACATCTTGATTTTATTAAATGCCACTTGGAATTTACCATTTTTGACACACTCTTCAACAATTATGTATGGAATGCGAATATCATCCACAAGGCGCCAATTGCCTAATGCTTCCCACTCATCCATGAACTCCATAGCCTCATCTAACTCACCAAGCTTCACCAGTGACTTTATCACATTCTCATAATCACTTTCTAGAAGATAGTTGGGGCTTTTCCTTCTAATATCCTTCTTTTGTAATATTACCCTTGCCTTTTCAAGAGCATCGGTGGCCTTATCTACAAGGAATTCCCTATCATAGAACTCGGCTACCACGGCGTAAGTACACCAGTCCATGACAATGTGGGGTTGACTCTCCATTTCTCTCAGCATTCTCTCCATCCCATCCACATCATAGGTTAACCCAAATGAACTAATGCAGATTCTGTAACTATCATTATCAGGTGAAACCTTGCTCTTCTTCATCTCGTCCATCACCTCAAGAACCTCCTCAGGATAGTATCCATTTATGCGCATGATCTCATTGAAAGGGCGAGGCGATAATGGAAAACCCAACCTTTTCATCTTCTCAAGATGCAACAAAGGACGTCTGTAGATGTCGCCTTTGTGTTTTTGCACATAACAATGAAGGAGCATTCCATGTGTCTCGTCATTTCTAGCTTGTTTTGGCAAGTTCCTGACATAGCGCTCCGCAGCAAAACATCCTCGAACCCTACAAATCAAATTGAACTGGAAAGCATAGTCTCTAGATGAGAATTTATAAATACCTTTTTTTCTCATCCATTCATAAACCTGCAACAGACAGCAAAAGCAAAATGCTATAAGAATGCATCTTTTAACCTTTCCATTGAATCAGACAGCATGATATAAATTAAATATCATTCCATCTACGTATGATAAGCGATAACACTACCAGAAATTCAAATTTAATTGACACTAGATTCAAACCTGAATATCAAGGTTAACTTGCAATAAAAATAATTACTCTTGTTTCATTTGGCACAAAATAGAAAGAATGATAATATTTTATAGCCATCAATTCCCTGTACGAGAGAGTGACTCAAAAGCTTTGAAGGGAAAGAATTCAAGATTTCCAATTAAAGAGTGAATGTATCAAGATAAACGGAACGAATGTAGTCTGTTTTGAGACGACATTGATGAGGGAGGGACATGAGAAGAACAACACCCATTAATGTGAGGGACGGATAGTGGTAGCAATGGGGGCACTTGCCCCCAGTTCTCAATATAATTTAATAACCCTTAAATTAATCCAAAAAATTAAAGTGCCCCAATCAAAAAATATTTTCCACCAATAAAAAACTTACAAATAAAAAAAAGGAAAAGTGAAAAGTTTTAGATTTAAGTAGGAGTAAAATCTAAAATAGAAATATACGGAGTATAACATTAGAAGCATAGCATTTTAAGATGAAAATTTTTAAATTACCAGAATAGAAAATAAAAGTACGTGAAATTATATGAAATGCTTTTTGATATTTTTTCATTAGGTATTTGAATGTTTTTTCGACATTAACTTTATTTTTCTGTAATTTTTTGTCTATCCACACTACTCTCAGGAAAAAAAACCCTAGAACTCATTGTCAGCCAAAATAATTAGGGAAGAATCTAGGCTACCTGTAGAGCTAGATAGAACCGCCCGTCCTTACGAAGTTTGAGCAGAATCCTCTTGAAGTCGTCCCCCGGAGCCTTTTTCTTGTGATATTTAACCCAATTGTCCAGATTACGTTTGACGCAGGATTTGGGAGTGGCCGGACGAGTAATCAGCGCCCACAAGCTCTTCCTGGATTTCACTGGCCCGGAAATACTGTTTGTATGGCAGCAGCGATCCCATCCCCGTCGCACTGCCGGCGGGAAACGTAACCCTAATCCCAAACGATTGAGTCCGAAGTAAGAAATCAAACCCATTGCAATCTTCTTCAATCGGGAACCATCGCCGCCGATGTAATTCTGTTCTGATTCCTATGCTCACTCTTCTCTTCCGACGACACTAATTTTGCTGGTGCTTCTTTTAACGGCGGACGACCCCAAGGTCTTCCGATTTGTGTGACTCGGCCCAACATATTCAAAATCAATTTGTGTGGTTTCCACTTGGTGTAACGGCCCACCATATGCAAAAATTAATATGGTTCCCAATATCAAGAGAAACCACTCGATACTTTTAATTCTTTATGGCTTTGTTTTACTAAACGCTTCATTTTATTTAATCATTGACTTTACACGTAGAATTTGAACATTACGTAACAAAATTGATGAAAAAATAAATTTTGTACGTAAATAACCGATTAGAAGATATAGAATAATTAATACTCCCTCTGTCCCCCTGTATATGTCCACATTTGACTTTTCGAACTGTTCATGTAAGCACTTTGACTCATCAAAAATTCTTTTAATGTATAAGCTTAAATATAGTCATGTGTGATCTTGTTTGATTTGTTAACATATAGATTATTAATATATAATTTCTATAATTTTTTAATATACAAATTACAAGATAAAATGGATTAAAGAAGTGCATTGAATGGCGTGTAAAAATGAAAGTGGACAAATACAGAAGGACAGAGGTAGTATATGACAAACGGAAAGAAAGAGAGTATAAACCCAGTAAATTAAACTAGTTATTAATATGTCTCTGACTCTCTGTGGTCGCATATTCTAGTTATTAGTGGAATGTGTGCTTATTAAGCGAGCTGCTTGTGAATGTTGTCCCATTGTCAGTTTTGTTAATTCATGTCCCGGATTGGCCATTCCATTTCAATATGAAGTGCAAAAGTGGCATTAGATTTTTGGATTTGGCCATTCCCTTTAGCTTCTTCTTGGATTTGGCCATTGATTAGGTCCTATTTTTGAAACAACTGAACACGAAAAAAATGAAGAAAACAGTTTCTGAAAGGGTTATTTACGTAAATAATCGGATACCAAATGGTTTGCTACCATTGTTTCACTCATCATATGAAGCATAAACTTACTGAGATGACTTGAACCAAATTATGATGATATAGCACATTAAATTAAATTGCAGCATAAGTTGTTTTAACTTCCTTGTTATGAAGGGATAAAGTTTTCAAACAAATCACCATTGCCAAACAATACCTATTGCAGTTTCAACCTTGGGATTAAAGTAACATTATTGTATGGTTCTCCATGGCATAAAAAGCAATGGAAATGAAGATTCATAATCATAGTCTAAGACTGATAGTACAAGAATGGCCTCCTATAACACATTCCCGAAAATGAAGCGTACTCCGTTTTCTTCTTTTATTGCTTCTATTGTGCGGAGTAATTGTTTCAAGACAGAACCATGGATGGAGAATTGAAGCTGGAGAGTACTGTACTTGGAAATAAAGTGAATGGAAAACATGAATGCTGCTGCATAAATAAAACCAACAAACCAAACAGAGCACAGGAAAACAAAGCAAACTAATATCCTAATATTACATCCTAAGAAGAGCCCAAGAGTTCTTTAATGCCACCCTTCTGACTTGCAGTCAGCCTTGTGGGAAACTTGATGTCAAACTTAATCCTCAAGTTCCCTTTCTTTGATGGATCTTTAGGGAGGGGCATACCTTCCCTAGGGACAACCTCCTCGTAGTTTGGGTTTATGGGGGTGCTGATAGGGACAGTGAGGCTCCTGCCATCCAGCATGGTGAGGTGCACCGTGTAGCCGGTGAGTGCCTCAGCCAGAGTTATCTTCTGCGTGTAAACCAAATCATTCCCATCGCGCGTGAAGACTTTGTGAGGTTTCTCGTCGATTATGAACACGAGATCTGATGGGGTGATGCCTGGCAGCTCATTTCCTTTCTCTGGGAAGGTAATCTTTGTGCCCTTCTTCCAGCCCGGCTTGATGTTTATGGTTAAAATCTCTTCTACAGGCATTGTTTTGCTGCAAAAATTGTGATGAAAAAAGAGAATCAGTAAATGGAGCTCAGCTAATTGGTATCAATTGCTACACTTCTAGCAAGAATACCATTTTCAGTTATCAAACAAGATTAATTGTCTTTATGCAGATCACTAATGTATTACAGACACAAAAACAAACCCATTGTAATCCCAAACATGTTTGTTCCAAAATTGTTAATGTAATATTATTTGACCAAAACCATCTCAAAGCATGTTTGGGAGGCTTGGCTGTTTGCTTTAGTGCAAATTCAACTGATTTACTCAATGACTTTCGGGTATTTCCCCGAAATCGCAAATTGTTTAACGCTGTTCTATAGAGTAGAATGATCAGAATAACCTCAAATAACACATCATAAAAAGACTATCATCTACAAGCTCCAAACCAGACACTAAAAAGAAGAAAATAATGAGAAAATAGAAACTTACCCACTAGCATCAGCAATCTCTCTAGAAATCTTCATCTTCTTGGTGGTACCCTTGTAGAGATCTTCAAGACTGCAGGGCAGAGTCTGTTCAATGGGAGGACCTTTCCTCTGCGCCGCTGATTGGTGCATTGGTACGCCGCCACCATCACCGCCAAATGAGGAAAATATGTTATCTCCAAACAAACTACCAAACCTTCCATCTCTCATTCCAGAGCCAGCCCCCATTCCTCCAAAGGGGCTAGAACCCCCAAAAAACTCTGCAAATATGTCATCTGCACTCCTTGGGTTGAAACGGAATGTGGTGGGCCCATCCCCGGTGGAGAAGAATGTTGCACCACCAGGACCACCAGCTCCGCCCGCACCTGGCGGTGGCACACCACCCTTAAGCCCCTCTTCACCGTACTGATCATATACAGTCCTTTTCTGAGGATCACTTAGCACCTAACCAAATTCCCAGAAATTAAAAAAAGAAACATGAGCCTTCGTCATAGATTTGCCCTAATTAAGAAATCAAGAATAATCAAAACACAGAATCTCAAGTTCAAATTAAAAGAATATATGAAACAAATCGAGCTAAACATGTATAAGCAAACAATAAAAGCTGAGATTTAGAGGGACAAGAGAGATCATACATCGTAAGCTTCAGAGATCTGCTTGAACTTGGCCTCGGCCTCTTTCTTGTTGGTGGGATTCTTGTCAGGGTGCCATTTCATGGCCAGTTTCCTGTAAGCTTTCTTCAAGTCGTCGTCTTTGGCGTTCCTATCGACACCCAGTATCTTGTAATAGTCCACCCCCATCTCTTCTTTGTCTCCTGCCCCCCTTCTCTTTCTCTTCTTCGCGTTGTCAATCTTGATTGCCTTTTTTTCTTCTCCGGCGATTTCTTCTCTGGAAGAATCAGATCAGTTCCGTCGACTGCGCTTGTGTGATTGATGGAATGCAAGCGGTGCTTGGCAGGGGAAATAAGGCTACCGGCGTGGGTGGATTCGTCTGGAAATATTCGTCATCCCAATGGACCAGAAGGCTGTGGAAACTTCTAGAAGAGAATGGCTAGGTTCGGTGCGTAAAGTTGGAATTCTTTTTTGGGCAATGTGTGTCTCTAGCTTGGGGTACCCTAGCTTAATTCTTCTTTTTTTAATCTTTATACGGGAGTGTTTTTTGTGGGTGGCATTGGACTCATATTTCGGGCTGCCCAAAGTGGGTTTAGCCCATGTTTCGTATGTTATTATTTCTAACCTCTTACATGTCTCTATCATCTCTACTTTACTTAAAAGGAGGGAAAATCCACAATTTGTTTTTTCCACTTAAATGGTCTTTACTCACAAATGGTAATTGCTAAACTTGAATAAGTAAGTGCCTAAGTTCAATTCACCATTAAAAAGGTAATTATTATTATTTATTTAACATGGTATCGTGTGTAGTAAATTAAACCGTGGTGAAATTAATTAAGATATAACATGTGTGATAAAATAAAATGTTGAAATGATAAATAACACCAAAAAAGTGTATAATAAATTACAATTTTGAAATGCTAAGAAACACCAAAAACGTATTTAATATTTATAAATTAAGATGTAATTAAAAATACAAACATGGTAAGTAACACCAGAAAGGTGTGTAATAAAATAAAAAGTTGAAATGGTAAGTAACACAAAAAAATGTAATTATTATTTGGTACTAATTAAGATGTAATGCGTGTATAAAAATGTACTTAAAGGTATATTAAATTTGTGATATGGTGTTATAAAAAAATTAATTAACACCAGGGGACCCCAACTAAGTTTTGGGTTTAAGGTTAATTTTTAAAATTTTTTACACTCATCTATTATTTGACCCCAACTAAAATTTAAGATCCTTTTAAATTGAATATGCTGCAACACTGTCACATCAAATAAGTATTTAAATATTTATAACTTTTTTTATTATTTTAAATTTGCTATTGAAAAATGTAGGCGCTTCACCTAAACCCCGACCTTTTGTGCCCCCAACTATTTAAAATTCTGGATCCGCCACTGATTAACACGAAACCATACAATTATAAAATATCTATATTAAAGATATATTAAATTTATGATATTATTGAACCTCACAATAATAAAATCTCTATATTCTATTAAATTTCATTTTCTATCATTCAAAAATGATCTTAATTTTGTAGCGTAAATATGACTCGTGCAACGCACAAGTGTGAAAGTACTTACTTTAAAAATCATTTCACTAAATAGCTTTAGTGTCCCCGTGGTTTAGAAAACTGTCACCAATATTTCATCTATTTTAAAAATTTATATATAAAGCTTTCGTGGTTTAAAATGTTACACCCACACCTTCTCCGATCATTTTCCGGTATTTCCTCACAAAGAGATGCATTGATGCTTATTTTCTAAATCACATGGAGCACACATGCTCATTTCTTATTTTTCATTTATTACTTTGTATTTTTCCTTTTTCACCTTTTACCTCTTAGTTACATATTCCTAGAAAAAAATTTAAAATCTTTTATAATGTTTTAAAAATTTCAAAATTATTTGTGCTTGAAATAATAATAAAAATACTAACATATACCCCACCTATCTTAAATTAAAATTTTTAAATTTTTTTCTAGGTGTTTTTAGTAAGTTCAAAAATGAAATATAAAATAAAAAACTAAAAAATATAGAAAAAACTAAAAAATTTAAAAGAGCCTTATACAAAAAGAATTTTCAAGATGTCTACAAATGTCCTTAGAATTGGGATGTCTAAAAAATATTCTTTTTTATTTTTTTGTTTTATTTTATTTCTCCCTTTTTGAAGTTCTCAAAAAAACTTTTTTGCTTTTTTATTTCAGAGAGACAAAAATGTTAATTTGAGATGTACAAATGTAGTGTATATGAATTTTTTTCACACAAAAATAATTTTAAATTTTAAAGCATTATAAAAATAATTTTAAAAAGAAATTTTAAAAACTCTGATTAATAAAAAACAAATAAAGGGAAAAAATAAAAAAATAAAAAATAAAAGAAAAATAAGAAATGAGCACAAGTGTCCCCATATGATTTTGAAAATAGGCATCAATGTCTCCTTCTTTACCAAGAAAAATGGCGAAAAATTATCAGAGGGGGTATGAGTACAATGTTTTCAAACCATGAAAACTTAAGAAATAAGTTTTGAAAACAGGATGATTGTTGGTGCTTATTTTCCAAACTATAGTGGGTACAAGTACTATTTGACCAAAATCATTTAGTGAGTTTCAGAGATATAATAATTAATTATAGATTTTAAAATCTATGAAAATAAGATAGAGTATGTGTTAAAAAAATGTAAAACAAAAATGTTTGAAGAAAACATAAATGGAAGTAAATTGTAGTCAGAGTTGTTGCTTCATTTAATTTTTTATCCTTTTTAAATGAAATTCAACTTGTTGTGTTGTTTAGATAACAATGTGATTCCAATTATTGATGGGAGTGTAGAAGACAATGACAAATTGAAGAGCAAGCCTCACATGACAATGTGACGGTGACAAATGAAAGCATACTTTAGGATGACAATGTGGTGATGGTTGTTGATTTTGACGATGAGCACTGATTGTCAATTGTTTTAATATTCAATGTTTAAAAAATAGTACTTTCACCATATGATTAGCGAATACGACATTTTTTGGATAGACGGATATTATATCATTTTAGTTATGTTATCTTTACCATTTTTGTAAATTTATAATCACCTTATAAGTTAAAAATAAGAGAAATTTACCTAAATAGGACTAAAACATAATGACTTTCTCAATATAGGAATATATATTTTTATTTCCCAATGTAGGACTTTTGGTCATTATGAAGTAGTCATTATTCAAGTAAATATCCATCATTACTAGATATTAATCCTCTCACTATGTCATTATTAAGTCTTACAGAATATTTAAGGAATAAAAAATTTTAAGTCCTACATTAGGAAAGTCATTATATTTTAGTTCTATTTAGTGCAAATTTATTAAAAATAATTATAATCAATAAGCTAATAAGCACGTGCATAGGAACACCAAATCTCTCTCATTTCATTTTAATTTTTTAATCACGGTAGCACGTAGGGAGTACTATATTTATTAAATGAAGTAAAGTACTCCGGAAATGAGAATGAACTCGATGATTTCCATCGGTTATAACTAACTAGCAAGAAACGTAACAAATTTTGGAGGGAGTTAGTATTTCATTTCAAATATCTTGTTGAAGACGAAAAGAAGTTAAAGCTGCGCCCAAAGTTTTCTGCTTCGAGCAGCGAGCTTGAAGTTCTCATTCGCGCGCGGAAGAGTGGAATCGCGCCGCGCTTTCAACAGTTCCGAGCGTGCAAAGATGCCGTCATCTCGCAACAGCGCCGTCGGAAGCGGTGACTCCGGCGGCAAGACAGCTAGGGAGGAGTCTTCTATCAGGGTTCCGGCCATGGACGCCATGAAAGACGACGATCTTGTGAGTTGATTTAAGTCCGTTCTCACATATCGGCCAAAATAGGTTGAGATTCTTCATGCTGAAATCGATAGTATTTCGGCCCAAATTTTTCTGCTAATTCAGAGAATTACGGAGTATTGATTAATCAATAGTTTATACGAGTAACAATTTAGGAATAGAATTCAATTTAAATTGGCAATCAACAGAAAAACAAATCACTTGCACGATGCGGAATATTAGTTTTCTAAGGGCAGGATATCAAACTATGAACAATGACTCAAGTTTTGACCGGTCAATTACTCAATTCTATCAATTAATCACATACTCCGTATTAAATTATCAGGTTTCATAGTTTAATACTGTATTCAATCTATGAAGAAAGCTGGAATGGGAATGTATTTGTTTTATTTGCTTTTACTAATTTTATCCAAGTTCATTTGGTTTGTGAGGGTGTTGTTATGCTTATCTATCTGTTTGTTATTACCATAATAGTCCGAGGAGGATTCGGCGTTGAAGCAACAGCTAGAGTTGTATGTCAAGTGTGCACAGGACCCCGACCCGTCATTGCAGGCTGTTGCGCTTCAGGGCATGAGGTATTTTACCATCAAACATTTCTGTAATCTTGGATTAGTTAGGTTACTTTGATGCGCTGGGGTCAACTTCATGTTTGTGGGGCTATATTTAATATTCATAGTTGTGCTGTTCAAGATGAATCATTATGTTAAAATCAAATACTCATGGAAACTTTTGTATATTGATGAATGCATTTGAGTGTTAATCTGCATGATGAGGAATTGAGGACTTAGTTCTTTTTCTATCATCACACCAACTTTTATTGAACACTAAATCCTACAAAATGTGATGGTCACTTGGCAAACCTTAAACAAGTACCTATTCTGTATCAAGTATCAACTTATCTTCTCTCTTTCTTTTCTCTTTTTCTTTTTGAATAATTACAGCCAGGAAATTCGTTGTCGTTATTCGAGATACTGTAGACAGGGTTTCGGTTATTTTAAAAACGCAGTAGTAATACCCTGTGACTTCAGTGTGATACTCTTGTACGGATTAAGACTACGTTTCCACAGCTATAGAAAGGTTAGAAGTCTAAAATACACACTGAAATAGTCCACATAAAACATTGAACCTTGATTTTAAACGGGTACATACATCAAACTTATGGCGGACATACTCTCTGTTTTGGCTTTGACAATGTCCGCAGAGGGAGAAAGGGTATGTTTATAACGTTTTCTATGGTTTCATCATGCATCCATTAGGTAATTGGATTGTCTTCCTACATTTACTTTGTTGTCCATGGATACTATTTACTCCGTGTATGATTACTTGTGAAATACGGAGTATATTGCAAAACGCATGCAATGTTTTGATGTTTCTTTTAGATTTAAAAATGAATCCGTGTAAGGGGTAAGCTTTTGAACTTTTTTCTGGAATTTCAGTTTGCAGGTAATTTGAGGTAAGTGTTTATTATTATCGTGTTTTTTATGTTCAGGAAAGCTTGAAGTATAGACTACTGGGATCTGATGGCGATGTTGGATCTTGGGGCCATGAGTATGTAAGGTGAGTTTGTCATTTTCAATGTTTCTAAAGACATACTGCTTCTCCCCATACAAAATGCCCAAGTTGTACTTGTAATAACTTTATTGAGAGAAAATTATATGATCATGGAATAAACATT